CATTAAAATTAAAGGGATAGTTCACCCAAAAATAAAAATTAGATGTTTATCTGCTTACCCCTAGGGCATCCAAGATGTAGGTGACTTTGTTTCTTCAGTAGAACACAAACAAAGATTTTTAACTCAAACCGTTGCAATCTGTCAGTCTTATAATGGAAGTGAGCTTTGTGGTTTCATATATGGTATATTATTAATTTGTTTTGTAATGCTTTTATGTTCATAATCATTAAATACTATTAATCTGAGAACAAAAATAAACACATTAACACGTTCATAATTTTATGTATTTATTATTTTTAGTATCTTGACACTCTCCCTAGCAGCGTTTTGAGCTCAGATAAGATAATGGTCGTAGAGCGCCCTTAGGTGACCGTTAATTTGACATCAGACTGAATACTCTACCTACTGTGATTAACAAACATTTTTTAATTATCCACCAAATTATCATCATTTTTGTAAGTTAACAACCATGCCACCTCAGTAAATTAGTAAAATATTAAACCGAGTTATTGCCTACATAACATATTTTAATATACATAATGTATTAAATAAATGTTAAAGCAGAAATAATAAAGATGTAAATGGCATCTCTCATTCAAACTAGCTCGCTCCCACGCTCTTTTCCAGCTCGCCGGTTCTCCGCATTGGATTGTGGGAAATAGTGCTTTGTGTACATCGGTTGTACACTCGAAATCAGAATGAATTGTGGGTAAAAAGTAGTGGACGAATGTAGGGAATGAAGACGTTCACTCAGAATTCGGACAGCACTACAAAATGGCTGACACCCAATATAGCGCACTATATTGGATAGGGAGCGGTTTCGGACACAGCTTCTGTCTACACTGGACAAAACGAAGCGACCGTTGAAAATCATTTGAAATTTGTGTCAGCACGTCATAAATAGAACGCAGCAGCAGTTTCCTGTCAGGGATTTGTCGTGTCGTGCCGCATCCAGTGTAGACAGCATCAGGGTGCTTGTTAATACAAATTATCCAGTTGTTACAAATATACAATTAAAAGAGAAGGCAGCACACTTTGTAATAATTTCTGACTTTATTGTAGATGTTTTGATAAGAATGGGCTCTCCCTCACTCTCCGAGCCTGCTTCTTCAATGGAAGTAGGGGAGAGTGGGGTAAGTTGACCCACCCCGTGTCTTGGCAACTGTACACTTTTGTGACCATGTATTTTGGAACCACCCATCATTTCTGCCAGACTGTGAAAAGGAGAAACACATGGGGGGAATGGAAGGCACCCATTTACTTTAAAAACTGTTTTTTTGCTTATCAAAGTAAAATTTTAGCATAACAGATGTAATGGTTGTTACATCAAAGTAAATTTATCCAGGTCTAAAAATATTTATGATGCATAAAGGTGATTTAGCAACATATAAAACCATGCAAATCATTTAGCTAAATATTAGCCTGAACTGGTAAGCTACAGCTATTTTTTTCTGAAATGGCAACTATGGGGCAAAGTGAGCCAAATGTTGCGGGGTAAATTGAGTCAGCATTTTAACTTACCCCACCATAAGGCACTGTAGTTAAGTTAAAACATATTGTTTCAGAAATGCAAACAATTAAATACTAAAATTTAAACTTCATTTGGTTGGTTTTACGTTGTTAAAGTTAACTTCATGAAAAGAAATATGACTGTAAAAGGAAATTATTAAATTCATTTTTTAATTATTATTTATTTCACATGGGTTTGAATCAGATTTGGCCAGATGGTCATTTTACACCCAGATGGTGCATCTTAACCACTGACTCGACTCGGCTCAACTTACCCCTAACCCGGGGCAAACTGAGCCATGGGAACACTTTTTTTTTTATAAGAAAACATATTTTTACATAGATACATTCTGATAATTTAAAATGATAGGAATACTTTCATTAGGATAGGATAGGATACTTTCATTGTACTTCTGCATCATTTTAACATCTCGAGGACCACATAATCTTACCCCACTCTCCCATATTAGACATTTGATTTTATATTTCTATATTACTGTATATACTAATAAACAACTAATTTAGAATATTTATATAATTTTTTTAAACTATTTATAGGCCTATGCCTACTATTAATATGATTTTAATAAAATATGATGTGTTATAGATTACTAGTATCAAGACAAGTGATTATAATGGGAAATATACTTAATTACAAGAATTAAAGTGTGACAAACTGCTAAATATTCTATATGATGATTTACCTGTTGGCTTGCTGGAGCTTTGAATTCTTGTGTGCAATGTTGAACTGCCTTTAGCAGCCTCGCTTCGCTCTTTCTCTCGGTCTCTGTCTTCTTTTTTGCGAAGGCATTTTTTTTTTGTCTACAAAGTGTGTGTTATTTAGGCTATATTAGATCTGATCGGGTACAATAATTTGATTAGACATTCTAATTCTAAGAACGTGGATATTTTGTTGTTATCACTTTTAAAAGACCGAGAGCAAATCATTACCGACAGAAATACAAAAACAAACTACCAAATTACTAACTAATGTGAAATTAGTGAAAGTGACAGTGACGTGACATGTGGCCAAGTATGGTTACCCATACTAGGAATTAGTGCTCTGCATTTAACCCATCCTAACCCATCCTAAGTGCACACATACAGCAGTGAACACGCACCTGGAGCAGTGGGCAGCCATTTATGCAAGGGCACCTCAGTCGTGGTATTGAAGGTAGAAGAGAGCGCTGTACATTCACCCCCCCCACCTACAATTCCTGCTGGACCCGAGACTCGAACTCGCAACCTTTGGGTTACAAGTCCGTCTCTCTAACCATTAGGCCACGACTTCCCTAGCACCAATGCAAACTACCAAATTACTAACTCAGCGAATCATCCACTGGATTGTGGATCGTAATGTGAAATTAGTGAAAGTGACAGTGACGTGACATGTGGCCAAGTATGGCATTAGTAACCATTAGGCCACGACTTCCCTAGCACCAATGCATCTACCTGTTAATGCAACAAAATTGGGAACTGTGGTCTCCACTCCAGAAAGCGGCACACAGATCGTGAGTGATGCTGCGGAGCGGGCAGGAAAACACGGAGCGGAATCAGCAGATCTTTAGCGGAGAGGGAACAGACCGCTTTGAGCTGGGGTGATGGGGGGATTGGTGAGAGGGGCACCTCAGCCGATGAGGGCAAAGGGGCAGTGGCTCTAGCCACCGGGCCACCCCTCTGTGCACGGCCCTGGACAGCATCACTGGCTATAACGAGTTCTATAGTATTTTGTCACACCGCTCGCGTCCAGTGTAGACACGGTGTAATGCCTTTACGTTTTTTTGCAAAAGGCAATTTTCAAAGTGAAGTAGCTTCTATTATTTTGTTTACTTCATCAGCAACTAGTGCAGTGTTGGTTGCTTGGTAACAAACCTGAGAGTGGATTGTCGACCTTGATAATGCCATTTAAGATTTAAGATAACTATAAGATACGATTTTGTAAGATAGGATAAGAATCCCAAATCAAGTTAAGATTTGCTTCTGTAACACGAATTTGTGAAAAATACTAATTTAACATATCATATATTAAGTTAAGACTTAAGATAAGAAACTTTCTGTAATACACCCCCTGAGCGCATTCTCAACAGCAGGCGCGTGACGAGTCTTCATTTTCTTCTTCGTGCTTTACGGCGGATCGCCATATAAGTGCATTACTGCCACCTATCTCTCAAATTCCTCCTAATTAAGATTGTAGATCAGTGATCCCCAAATCTGGCTTGCGAGATCCACTTTCCTGCAGAGTTTAGCGCCAACCCTAATCAAACAAACCTACCTGTGATTTTCTAATGATCCTGAAGACATTGATTAGCATACTCCGGTGTGTTTGATTAGGGTTAGAGCTAAACTCTGCAGGAAAGTGGATCTTGCGAACCAGATTTGAGGATCACTGTTGTAGATAGAGTGTCAATGGTCCACTTGAGAGATAGAGGTGGCGGTAATGCACTTATAAGTCTGCGATCCGCCGTAAAGCAAGAAGAAGAAGAAGACGCGTCATGCGCCTGTGGTTGAGAACGCACTCAGGACAGTTCGGACATTGCATGAATCGGAGGTAAAAAACTATATAAATACTGTTCAATTTCTTGCACAGACCAATCGTTTTGTGTCTTTGCACATGAATGTATCGTCACGAGCCACAGGGTTTAATTTAGTTTTGTTTGTGTATGTTTTTTTTTTACTCTCAAAGCCGTGATTCCCATCCACTTACATTATAAGACTGACAAGACTGCAACAGATTGAGTTAAAAATCTTCGTTTGTGTTCTACTGAAGAAACAAAGTCACCTACATCTTGGATGCCCTGGGGGTAAGCAAATAAACATCAATTTTTCATTTTTGGGTGAACTATCCCTTTAAGCAAGCAAAAATCCTACCTGTATGACTTTCCAGTAGGTGGCGCTCTCAACATGTCTGAAACTGCATGACTGCTTGAGGGAAGAATATCATGGTTTTGTCTGCATTCATTATTTTTGCTATTTGCAATGTCCGGCATATCAAACCAGTAATTTAAAGCAACAGCTCGTTTAATATTACCAAATGTCTTTCTATAAAAAGGAAGTGTTTGTTTTACATGGAGTTTCTTGGCAAAATAAAACATAAAATGTAATAGCATCTGATAACAGGGGCACATAAGGACATTTAGCCAGCTAAATGTTAACATTCAAATCCATATATAAAAACATGGTTTTGCCAATAAGGTTCAAATATGTGTGTCAAAACAGTAAGGAGAGCAAAAATGTCTTACCAGTAGGTAGAGCTCTCAACATGTCTTTAGTTTAACTAGACGTCTGCTGAAGGGAAGACTATCAAGGTTTTGCTTGCATAGAAATACACTGTTATATGAAATGCCTGTAATATCAAATGGGCAATACAAAGCCTAAAAAAGGTTGATTTTCACTCTAATTAAGCAAAGCATAAAAACATATTGCTTCTTTATAATTGTCATCTTGTAAAAATTGATAAAAAGTTCCTGCTTACTTGATAATGTGGCTCTAAAATATAAAACACTTGAATGCACACGTGAAATGCATGATATTGTTACTGTTTTTTTGTAAAATGATTACTACCGGGCATGTAGTGGGAATGTTGTTGACATGGGTCATATTAAACATTTAGACGAAATATGAGCATGGTGAAACAGTAGGAAAGAGAGACTGAGCGTGTGTTCACTGCCGATCTAGATGCTCAGATAAAGCGGACAGTGTGCATGTGTGTCCAATCTCAAACAGGTTTTCCCACAATAGGAACTCTCCACCCCATCCTGGTTGGACTTTAAAAGCCCAGCCTCTCCACAGAGAGACACCTGTTTCGCTCAGGTCTGCCCAGCTGTTCTCATCTGAAACATCTTCCACTGCAGCTCCCCACGGTTTCTCTTGACCAACTATGAGTCTGAGAAGCAAGCGCATCAGTTCCAGCAGCTCTGTGAGGAGCAGCGGAAAGATGGGAGGCTATGGTTACAGCAGTTTAAGTGGGATCTCCCTGGGAGCATCTGCCCCGAGCTTTAGCACCAGCTCGGCGTATTTGGGGCCTCCCATCTCCAGCATCTCTGTCAACAAGAGCCTGCTGGCGCCCCTCAACTTGGAGATCGACCCCAACATCCAAATGGTGCGCACTCAGGAGAAGGAGCAGATCAAGTCGCTGAACAATCGCTTCGCCAGCTTCATCGATAAGGTACAGTTGGGTCTCTTGTTCCCGGAGAACATTTTGTAGAGTTTCAGCCAAAAGGTAGTAGTCTTTGAATGTTAAGACCAACAGAGTGTTAATGGCGATGATAAAGTCTTAATACGATCAACATCCCAAACCTCTAAGGGAAAGGTGATTTGGTAGAGTCGCATGAAAATGATAGTTCTGTAGCGTGGCCCATTTCTCTGAAGCCTGTAACCTGATAAAAAGCACATCAGATCTGACCAAGCCACTGAAGACAGCACTATGCCAGCCAGTATGAAGGAAGCTTTTGTGTGCCGGAGGACAATGCAACCGAATCCCAGGAGCCCGCTGGACTGTAATCGACACTTCAATCGCACTGAAGTACAACCAAGTCACTGTTGTGGGTTGGGGCAGGGCTGGGTCCTCCAACACGGGTCTCGGGTCGGCTTTTAAAGTGCTCGAAATAAGGATTTACGAATAACCCATCTAGGTCAGCCGCTACTCTCCGGAGTGTTACCGTTCAGCTAATGGGGAGTCATATTGCTTTGTTAATGAGTCCATCCTGGCAGGGTGGGCATCAATTAAACCGTCCAGGCTTTCAGGATGTGCAGTGAACTGAAGAAATCTCAAAGAAGAGCTCTTAAAATGCTAAAATTCCACAGAAGTGGACTCTTTCTTCTTTGTTCTTGCAGAAGCATGACAGGAAAATTTGTAAAGAATAACTTAGTAGTGGCAGAGCATTAGTCAAACACTTTAATTATACTACCTCATGTTCCTCAAGGAAGATTTACATTCACAACAACTTTTCACTATGTTGGGTACAAAGAAATGGTTTCTTTGAGCATAAATCTTCAGAAGATGTTATGGATGCCACCTGAGGATTCACTTGATGTTTCACTTAGTGCTGCATTAAACTGCATTTCTTATAGTATTGAATACTGAAATGGATCAGCCATACTGGACTCATAAGTTCCAGAAAATAACAAAAACTATATTTATGTTAAAATTCTTGATACTTTTAATAATAAACTGATCATTCACAAAACAATATATATATTAATCAAATAAAAAAATACATTAAAATATATAAAAATGTATTATAATAAATAAAAAATATATTCTTAGAATTAAATTAAATATTAAGTACATATTTTATAATAAATTTATATTTATCACAATGTATTAGAACGTCAGGTACATTTTTGATGATCGATTACAAAGGCCCAAATTTGATGTATATCTTTTCTCTTTATTTCTTTATCTATTCCATATGAAAGACTAACTGAAAAATTTGTAATAACATTTTTTTTTTTTAATTAATGAATGAAGAAACTAATTATTTACTGTTACCTCTACAGGTACGCTTCCTGGAGCAGCAAAATAAGATGCTGGAGACCAAGTGGGAGCTTCTGCAGAACCAGACCCCGGGCCGCTCCAACGTCGAGCCCATGTTTGACGCTTACATGGCCAACCTGCGCAGACAGATGGACGTGGTCAACAATGACAGGACCAAGCTGGATGGAGAGCTGAGGAACATGCAGGGACTGGTGGAGGACTTCAAACACAAGTAATGTATTTAGATCTACGCTAACACCAATGCTTACTGACCTTTGACGAGAGTCTCTCCTGTTTTTCTTTGAGAAATTGATTATGAAGCCCCACCTGCTAATGATTTTCTTCTAAACTTGAACTGACGCAGCTCATTAAATAAATTTGGGTATCAAAAACAACATACGACAATAAATGTGTTTTCAACTCAAAAGGTGTTCAAAACTTAAATCTTTTTCCACATTTACAGACTTAAATATCCACTTTGTATTTCTTTGACTCAGATATGAAGATGAGATCAACAAAAGGAACAACCTGGAGAACGACTTTGTGATTCTGAAAAAGGTGCGATATCTAGATGACTAGACGTCAGAGGTCAAAAATTGTATTTTCACACATTATGAAACAAAAAAATAGGTATGACCTCACTGTAATGCGGGGTTAGGGCAGGTTACCGAGTAAAAAAGCAGGACTTTCAGCAGGGAAAGTTAAACTTTCACAACACGTTGCATAAAAGCAGCCCAGGAGAGGGAACAATGAGATGTTTGGGAGGGGTAAAGAGCTCTGAACTGCTAAAGTTAAGCCTGGAGGGATCAGATCACCATTGACAAATCCCTGGGTGGGGACACAGCATTATTTATACACTAGAGGAGATCTGTTTTCAATGGCCTACTGAGAGTAGCAAGAAGTCAAATTTGCATATTAAATATCTACAAGATGTAGCTCTTGATATATCGATATGAGGGTTTTATGGTGCATGTGAGGGGTTTTGGTGTTCAATGCCTAAGTAAGACACACAAGTTATTCAAAGTTGCAATTGAGAAGAGGAAAAACTGAGTACTGTGTGCCCCGCAGGATGTAGACTTGGCTTATCTGGTGAAAGCTGATTTGGAGGACAAAGTTGGTGCCCTGACTGATGAGATCAACTTCCTGAGAACCATCTACGATGAGGTGAGACACACACACATACATACTTCAAACATTATAAACAATATAAACATATATTTTTTTCCCCCACTCCACAACAAATCCTTTAAATGTAATGGTATTCAGAAGAGAACATGAAAAATGTAAGTATAAAACAAACATAAATTATGGTGGCATTCATTTTAAACAACATTTACAATAAATGCCTAGTTTAAACAAATGTATTGAAAGCAAAGTAAATGTAGGAAATGCACTATACAAATAAATGTGGGCTCACATGCTTTTATGCATGTTTTGTGTGCTTGACAATAATTGCATTATACAAGTTGCAACTTCTTTCAGATGATAAAAACATGACTTATATTTCAGAA